GATTATTTTATGGTTCGATCGATTAGTGTCTGTTTTATTGGATAAGGAGATAACCGCATCATAATAGGTCGATTCTAATTTCAGTGGGGTGTAACATATTTGATAAAAGTTCTCGAATCGAGATATTTGAAGGCAGTGGAAGTGTGTACCTTTCTTTGATTTCAACTTGTCCTGCAACACAAGAGAAGGTTGAGCAGTCAATTTCGGTCGAACTTCATCAAAAGTAGCATGACTACTCGAAAACCAACCAGTCCACCATTGAGAAAAACCCACAGTAGACAAATAATTTGACTCGAAAGCATAGGGATAAAAATGCATCGGGGTTTTTGGTAAAAGCTCAACAAGCTCCCGACTAATTGTGGATTCAGTTAGTTTGGACTTTGGGGAGGTATCAAGAGAGAAGAAAGGCAAAGATTGGCTCAACCCAAATTGTCTCGAGAAGAGTTGGGGGTAATAGGTGACAAGCTTAAGATCTTTCGACTGAAAACCCGATACCAACACATCATGGGTCAAATAATTACTCCATATATCTATCAGCTCCGATTGCAACGCAGGAGTCGAGGCAGGGAATTTAGACTTAAACCAACTTGGTCCCCTAAGTTGGTCACTTATTTGTCCAAGATGTACGGTAAAGGGGGCCAAGGTTGAATCGAAGGAAAACTTTGTCAATAAAAATTTTAGGTATCTACAATAAGCCGCTTCATCAGGCTTATGGCGAGGGTGACGAGAAGATAACCGAGCACCTTCGATATTTATACTGAGGGAAATGGTGGAGGACGGGGGAAGGATGCTCTCAAAAATCGAGGTGAGCCACAACTGTACAAACCAAATAGGGCCAGAAAAATTCCCTGATGCTTTAGGAGTGCTCAAGATTTCGACAGCTTCGTCGAAGGCAGCATATACATGGGCTAGCAGAAGTTTAGCCAAACATATCCTAGGCTGGCCTATGTGCAAGAGATATGCAAGGTCAAAAAGATGGGGGGAAATTTGGATCGATCGGGGGCAGAAAACGTGGGTACATAACCAGTACACCAAAAAAGCTATGTGCTCCTCTTCAGTCACCGTTATCAAGTCATCATCAACAAAATGCCTCTCAAGGAAATGTCTGTAAGCTTTCGATTCCCAATCGATCTTTAATCTTAGAGAGTTATCCGAAGGACATGTACCCTTGAAGTATTTTTCCCCCGTAGGTTTCAAGCCAGTAATAGCCGCGATCTCAAAATGGGTGGGTGAAAGGGGGCCACAAGGCAACTCCAAAGCATGTAAATCCTTGTTCCATAAATGCACCGCAGGTAGAAACATTGCCATGTCTAAAAACGACAGATCACATCGAGACAGGTGCAAAAAGTCAAAAATCCCAACATCCTTCCAGTGGCTCCCAAACCTAGTTTTTACTCTATCAAACCACCTAATAAAGGAAGGTTTTTTGGAAGGAGGGCCTGTTCTATATACCTTAGAAGTAAGATTCAAAAAATCAACCCTAACTTCAGGATGATGTATAAGAGCCGGGCTAATCGAGAGGTTGAGAGGGGAGAAAATATCATTTACAGGACGAAGTGGACCCCCAAAAGCAAAATTAACCCCCTCAGCAGTATAAGGGATAAGTACCTGCGTTTCAGCAATTTTACGGGAAGCCTCCTCCATCAAAGGGACTGAAGCGAACCTCTGGTTGTTAATCTCCAGCAGGTTAGAAGACAATGAGGAAAGGGGTGGAACGGAAAAGTCAGAAAATTTTGACGAGGTGGCCATTTTAGTGAGTTTAGAAAAACAGAAAGAGAAGGGTTAACGAATGAGGTAGCAAGGAGGAAGACAACAACTCAAGGAAGACGGTGAAGGTGCAAGCAGAGGGTAAAAGTTCACGTAAAAACCAAAGCAAAAAACCAAGGGAGAGGTTAAGGAGAAAATCGCCTAGGGAGTTGGAACGACAGACGCGAAAGATAATAAATGTAGCGTACTGTAAAAGCAACAGACTGATATGATGGCGACGTAAAACGGAAAGGAAAACCTAAAACCCTTTTAACCCTAGAACCCCAGAAAACCTAAACCCTAAGTTCTGCAGGCTTTCAAACATTAAGGCGGGAATATTGAAAGAATATAAACTGAAATCATTTATATTCTTTCAAGGGGGCATTTTGTTAGTAGGAAATCGAGAAAAGCAATCGAAAATGAAGGAAAGGAAAGAGAACACGTGGCTGATAAAAAACCATTCGATGTCTAAAGCACGTAACACATAACATCGAAAAGTATAATTGAGGATCGAAGGAATGATAGTCAAATACCTAGTGTCGAAACCTAAGAAACTAAAATGATGAGACGTTAAGGTTGAAAAGGAATCGTAAGCAATTCGAAGTTCTCGAAAGTGTAAAATCGAAAATGAAGAAAGCTAACCTACATGGACATCGAAAACTTTGGCCAAATCGTGAAAGGAAGTAAGTCGAATGCACGTATAAAGAGCAGTTTTGAAATCATGGGAAAAAGTCGGAGATCGTGAGAACGTGGGAAACTATAGAAGATAAACTGCCATACGCACGTAGAACGTGGTAGCAGTCGTGTTAACTGCTCTTGGAAGGCTGGAAGGATGCCCTATAAATAGAACAAAGGAGGAAGGAACAGGGGGAGCAGAAATTGGCAGAGAACAGAATCAGTAGTGAAAAGTCTACCGGAGAAACGACGAACACCATGAAGCTTCTGGCAATCTGGATTTCCTTGCTCACTGAGTACATTTACCGCTTTTTGTATTTTCCTTGGTAATTTATTTTGATGCAACTTAAATTCAACAGTTTTATGTTTCTGTATTTTCGATTCCTTGTCCATTTCAATTCAATGAAAATTTAAGTTTATGCATTTAAGTTTCCATGTTATTTAATATTCTGCAAATCTCGATTTCCTGTCAGTTACTTTTCTTGCAATCTCGATTTCTTGTCATTTATATTTGCACTATTTTCGATTCCTCGTCATTTACAATTGATGCAAATTTGGATTTTCGCTCTTTACATTTTCTTGCAATTTAACATTGTTTCTTGATTCGATACTTTTACTGCTTTCGATACTTTAAATACAAAATACCAAAAATAGCATTTTCGATATCCTGTAATTTTCGACTCTCATACACGTTTTCGATTGAAAATCAAATTGCTAGCCTAAGTAAAAAGAACTTACGTGGGAGGATTTCGATTAGGACCATAACACTGTTTAGAATCGAAATCGATCGAAATTCCACCAGAAACACATACATATTATGATTCAACTTCCACCACCATCACAAAATTAACAACTTGCAGAATATAAATTAAATTGTAAAATATAATAATTTAATTTTGTTAATAAAATTAACATTAATGTAATTCATAAAATAATGGTGAGTCTTTTGTTATTTTGAAAGTAATTCTAGATAATCTTAAGATAAAGTTATTTCTCTTATAACTCCTAACATATACTAAAATTTCATAATTCAATCGTTAAATTGTTTCTTGTTTTCGAGTAGTTTAGTACTTTATTAAATGAATTAATATACAGCAAAAATTTACCTTTAAGTTAAACTTTAAAAAATACCGAGTTGGAATTATTTATTGAAAAAATACAGTAAGATTATACAATATTAATTTAGGTAATTACTGAAAAAAGTTTATTGTGTTCGATCAATTATTTCACACTCTAATTATGATATCCTACGCTCTTAAATAAAAATAATTATATTATATCAATAAACTATAACTTTTAATGTCATTCAATATACACTGAAGGAATAACTTTCTTTCTAATAATTTTTTAATATGTAAAATCAATTCTGAAAAAGATGTTATAATTACTTGTCCTTAAGAAAAATAACTACACATATAATAAAAAAAATTGATAATATATTATAATATAAAAATTGGACAATGGATGAATTAATATTTATTACCTTAAATAGACAATCACACTGGCAGTGGATAAATCATTATTGTTTCCCTGTTTTCAAGTCTCAACATTTCAACACATAGAATAAAATCCCACAAAAAAAAAACAAAGATTAAATCACCCCAATTTTGTAAATGATATTAAAGCAAATAAATAAAGCAATAAGGTATATACAACAATAGAAATCTTGCTATATAACTATTATATAGCAACGTATAAAAACAAAAATTCTTCAAGTGTAATAACATTTTTTCTCTCTATTCACCTTCAAGTAGTACTAAGGAAGAAACTATGCGTGTCCAATTATCCTTCTCCATGACTGATAAACATTTTTTGGATAACTTTCCTACAAATTTCACTGGAAAAAACAAAACCTTCATGATTTTCTTATAAATGATATCAGTCATTCAATTGCAAAATCCTACTTAATTTGGTAATACATCTCCATAAGACAATTTTTAACCTTCTCCACTAAGTAATTAATTGATGCAAATATATCATAAACAAAAGTTATTGTTATCATGGAAACATCATTTGTAGTTAATCATTATTAATTGCTTATTAAATTGATGTTAATGAATATATTAATTATTTATAGTTTAAAATAAAGGAGAAGATTTGTTTTTTTTTTCTAAATTTATTGAGATAGAGTTTTAAAATAAATAATATTAATCCTTCCACTTCTGACTATGTTATGTATAAAATATTTATTAAATAATAAAATTTGTTTAAAAGATTTTATAAGGTATGATTATTTTAGTCAAGTTTATAAGTCTCCCAAAACTAAAAAATTTGACCAACAAAATAATAATTTGAAGACTAAATAAACTGAATTAATTTTTAAAAATTATACATATTTAAAAATATCTCTTGATTAAAATAAACAATTATGATAAAAAAAAACTGTTAAATATTTAATACGGGTACGAAGGTTTAATAATAATAATAATAAATAATTGATCATTTAAGAATAAATATTTGACCAACAATGTTTATATTCAAAGAAGGGTGACTCTGGGAGCTTATAAATACTAGAAAGCATTTTCACTTTCCTTCAAGAAACCAATCTCTTGTTATTCTCTTCCATCTTTTTCTCCCGGATGGACTCAACTAAGCAACAAGCGCAAAAGCTCCTGGTCGCGGTGACGGCAGTGCTAGCGGTGCTAGCAAAGCGGGCAAGCCGTCTACCGCGGAAACTGAAGGAGGCGCCGCGGAAACTGAAGCAGACGCCAAAGGAAGAGTGGATGATCGAGTTGCGGTCGCCAAAGAAGCTTCTGAGCAACATAGGAGGGAAAACACTGCCATTTCTGCCGAAGAGGAGCAAGAAAAAGCGCGACGAGAAGGATTGGGGAAACGGCGGTGTGTGGCAGAAGACAATCCTAATGGGGGACAAGTGTGAGCCGTTGGATTTCTCAGGAGTAATCTATTACGATAATAACGGGAAGCAGGTGAACGAGATCCCTCTTAGGTCACCACGTGCCAGTCCCGTGCCCGGCTATTACTTCATCCGTCACAGAGAACAGCGCGATCACCAGCCATGAGATCCTTCTTCCGTCACGGATTTGATTGATGGCCTGCCGCACGTGCGTGTCTTTGTTTGCACGTGCCTTCTGCTTTTTATAGTGAGGTGAAAAAATTGTATAGAACATCTGAAAATTGAAGATTTGGGTGTCTACTGTTTAGATAAATAATCTAGTCTGTTTTAAAGTTTGTTTAGATTTAAATTTCTCTTCCTTGAGAAAAAAAAATACATGTTTTTTTTTTAATTATTAATGTTAATGATCTTAATTAGTTTCTGTTATTTTTTAAATTTATTGTATAATTGGGAATTATTTATCATTTTAAGATAATAAATAACATCAATAAAATCACCTTGAATGTTGACCAGATGAGTATTCTTTTCCCTCATCTTTCCAAGAGAAGTTAATCAACTTAAAGATATGTCGTAAATAATATTATTTTCATTTTTTTTATAGAAACAAATTATAATATTTTTAAATATAAATAAAAATTCAATTATTTTATTTTATTTAATGATATTTTTTTAAATATATTAATTTTTGTTAAAGCCTGATTTTGATTATATCAACATAATATATAATTATATATTTTTTATAAAAATATTATTAAAAAAATTAGTCCAATTTTATGCAATAACATAATCATGTTGAATAAAATTATTGTCATTAGGTTAAATTAATTATGTTGTTATCTTTAGTTTTCATATAAACTAATGAAATTATAAAATAGCTTGAATGCTTTATATATATATATATATATATATATATATATATATATATATATATATAATAATAATAATAATAATAATAATAATAATAATATTCTCCATTTACTTATTTTTTAAATTTATCTAAAAAAATTAAGAAAAAAATTGATTTATTGTTCAAACAGTATTTAAATATAATGAAATTAATGTTTTTACGAGGTAAAATTAATTTGTGTACAAATTGATTTATAATTTTTATTATAATTTTTAATTTTTTTTAATTAAAATTATTAAAGTATAAAAAAATTATAATATATTATGAAAACATAAACGTTAAGATATTTATATATTTATATTTTTTATAAAATATTATTTTGAATTTTATCTTGTTTTTTTAATATATATTTTTTATCTATTTTTCTTGTTTATGTTTACGATTTTTAAAAATATAAAATATAATAATTATTTTTTCTTTTAACTTGTGATATTTTTATTTTTTTCTAAAGAAAAAAGTAAAATAATATATATATATATATATATATATATATAAAATTTTAGAAATTAATTTTACAGAATTACATAAAATTTAAATCAATTATTTTTTAAAATAGACATAAATAAATTAATTATATATATGTATATATTTTTTTTCTGAGTGTTTTACAAAAATTATTTACACATACTTTTATACATAAATTAATTTTAATTTATAATTTATTTGATAGATTCATATTAAAAACAATTTCGTGCAAATATCTCTCTAACAAAATAAACTGAAGCGAAAGGAAGAATTGGTTAATCGTTGAAATAGTATTTGCACAAACTAAGAATTAGGTTCGTTGAATTGATGGGTCAATAAGTGTGAGCTAAATTTGTGTGGTAATGTCATGACTCATGGGGTGCGCATGGAAAACATTTGACTTTTGCAGGCTGTGGTGGCCACTCGAAGTCAACTTTGTATTTATTCCACTTACCATGTCCTTCATGCTTTTGCGTCCACGAAACGCACTTTCAATTTTATTTTATTTTCTCACCTTTATTTCGCAATTATCATAATATAATACCTAATTTGTGATGTCAACTTTTAAATTAATTGCAGTGATAAGAGTTTATTTAGTTATTTTACATCTATAACCTACTCGTATCCTCTACGGGAGATAATATTAATTAAGGCCATGAACTACGCTTAACTAAGCAATCTTCCTATTTTTTACATTAAAAAATTATTTATGATATAAAATTCTGTTATAAATATTATATAGTTAAATTTATAAAGTTTAGATATTAAAAAATATAATGGTATACAGTGAACTAAATTCTAATTTTAATATATTTTTACATACCATATTTATATAAATAAGATTTATTTTATTTTTTTACTCACATTTTTTAAATTTCCCTAATAATAACATAATAAAAATTATTGAAATAAATAATAAATAAAATCAGATGTTTAATAAGATTACTAACTAATCTATTTATAACTAATTTATAAAATATATTAATTTTATATTTTGAGAATATTGTATAATATTATTCATTCAATTAAATAAATTTTTAATATGAATATTTATTTTAAATATATTATTTTATTAATTCATAGAATTTTAATGTTCTGTTAATTTTTTTATATTAATCATTTTAAATAAAATTTAATTTTGTTAAATTTTTATTATCAGTAAAAGTGTCAAATAAGTTAGATAATCCCACTACCTAATGCAACTCAAACATTTTTGCTTCCATTTTTTTATTAATATAAACCTGACTTAATTTTAAAACCAATTTTATATGTTAAAATTAATTTAATCATAACTTATCATCATATATTTGAAACTAGTAATAGATATGCACACCATAATGACATACTTACAAGTTAAAATTAGTATAAGTTATATATATATTTAACTAGTAAAAATATTATTTCTTGATCTAACTTTCATTAAAATAAAAATTATATTATAATTAATAATAAAACAAAACAATAATAATAATAAGATAATATTTTTATTTTATTAACATAACTTTAATAACTATATGATATGTAAATATAAAAAGTATAAATTTTTAATAAATATTTTGATGATTAATATATTAACATAGTATTAATATAGAATCAATAAGATATTAATTATCTGAAGTTATGAAATTATAAACATATAATATATTATGAAATTATAATAACATAGTATTAACATATATTAACATAGTATTATAAACAAAATTATAAATCAATTTTCTTATAAAATATTTTGTAAAAAATATAATAAAAATTATGAAATAAAATACATATATTTTTATAATTTTTATTATATTTATAATTTTAATTTCTTTTATATTTATCAATAAATTATATAATTTTATTATTAAATAATTACAATTTAATTTTACTATTAGGATTTAATAAATATACACATATTAAAAATAAAATATAATTAAATTATAAACAAATTTTGACTGGATTTGATTTTATCCTTAATTTATGATTTTGAATTAAACAATATAATTTTAAAAAATGGAAACTAAAAAAATATTAAATTTAATCAATTTTCAAAATTTTAATTGATTTTTAATTATTTTTAGTTTATACATATACGTATTATCACTCATTTATTTTCTTTTCGATTTTATACTTTTAATATCATTGTTTTGTTGTCCGTTTTATATAAAACATCCCGTAAAAAAAGTTAGATTAAAAAGAAAATAATTACTTTTGAAGAAAATGTTTTAATTTTTATAAATTAAATTAATTAAATTAATTGATAATTTGATTTCTTTTTTATAAATATTTTTTAAAAAATATCAAAATACAGTATAAAATTGGGTGGAAACTTTTGTCATTGTTTTTTCTTATTTGACAATTTTTTTTTGTTTTATTTTATAAAACTTGATTTTGTCTGTTTAAATTTAGTAAATTATAGATTTAATTTATTTTAAAAAACTGATGTATTTATCTATATCTATATGTTTTCTAATTTTAAAAATATTATTTTGATTCTTTAAACCGATTTTTTAAAGAAAAAATATATTCTAAACAACGTAGATTGAAAGTGCAAAGATAGAACTTTTTTTAACTAAGAAACTAAATTTTACATATTTAAGTGGGAACAAAATATATTTTAAATTTTTTATTTGATTTGAAAAAAGTTTAAAGTTTTGATATTAATATTGAAAAATATAATAAATATTGTAATTTTTATAAATAAAATTTGCAATTTTTAATATATTCTTAAATATTTTTAATTAATTATTAATTTGTTATTATTATACAATATTTCTATTAAATATATTTTAAAAAAACATTTAATATATAATTAATTTTGTAATTTTGAAACTTTTTTTTCCTGTGAAATTCAAAATTGTGTCAAATCTCCTATGAAAATCTCATTGTTGGCTATAATATAAGTAATACAAAAATTTGTGCTCCTGTGTATCACTTTCTTTGTTGACATGCCAAATAATAAATACCTATCCTAATGCCATTGAAGGTCGGTTACCATAAAAGTTTAGACTCTCTCCATCATCATAATTGTAATTTATATGAAATTAATTTTCTAAACATAATGAGAAAATGGTGATCTTAACTTAATTACAATTTAAAATAAAAAATTTCCTTAGACTTAAAAATATGGTTAAGAAAGTATTTATAACTTTTATATATATAATTTTGGTCTTTATTTTTTTTATATAAATATTAAAATAAATCATTAATATAAATTAAATAAGAAAATATTTTATATTCTTAAATATTTTTACTTATTTTTTATAATATTTTATTATTTATTAATGGTATCTTATTTCACGTCTTTAAAACCAAGGTTTATTATTAAGAAAGAGACTTATGATCCTATTTTTACTATAATTATCACATTTGAGGTATTATCTATTTTAAAATTTTAGTCTATCATTTTTTTTTCTTAAACTCCTCGATTGAGAACTATGAGATACAAGTGAATTAAAATTGTACCTTCAACCCCACAATGGTGTTGAGAACTGACAAAACATATGTAAAAACTAATAAAATTGAAGGAGAAATTCTCTGTTATTCAAAAAAACGAACTTGGCTAATATATAGCCTCACATATAAATAGAAAAACTGAAAAAATAGAATAGAACAGTCCATGTTTATAGGCCACTAATTGCTAATAACATTATTGACCAATTCAAATACACAATTGCTCCTAAAAACTAAAGGGAACTATAAAATTGACCAAAATAGGGAAATTATAAAACTGACCGACAAATCTTTCCTTAAACTGAATATTATATGCAATCAATTTATATTAGACTCTGAACATACTCCTAGTAACCTACGTA